CCTAAACCGTGGCTTTGTGCGTGAGGGTGGGGAAGCCTAAACCTTAAACCCTAAACCCTAAACCCTAAACCCTAAACCCTAAACCCTAAACCCTAAACCCTAAACCTCACCTTCGTGCTTGAGGATGGGGAAGCTTGGGAGAAGACCTCCCGACCTGGAGCCAAAGACGCTCCAGGGATCCCTGGCCGGAGACTCCCAGCCCTTGGGAGAAAGAAAGCTGGCCACGGCAGGCGGCCGCTAGGGTTTAGGGTTTAGGGTTTAGGGTTTAGGGTTTAGGGTTTAGGGTTTAGGGTTTAGGGTTTAGGGTTTAGGGTTTAGGGTTTAGGGAGTTGAGGTTTTTGAGGATGTCTGTATTTGCACGGAGGGTTTGGTCATTTAGGGTGAGGGGGCTTTAGGATTGAGGATTCTGCACTGAGTGGAGGCGAGTGTTGGAAACATATTGAAGGTTTATCGAGCTTGTTACGCCAACTTCGAGAACCACCAGAAATCTCAACGCAAGGCCCCCAGACCGGAAGTAAACCGGAGTCGTAAATCCTGAAGCCAAACACCCCGAGCCAACCCCCCCAACACTCTAAGCCCAGCAACGCCCAGGGCCCAGATCATTGCACTCCCAAAGACACCAAGCAGAGTAAGGAGCTAATGTAGGAACCTGATTAAGAAACCCTGGCCCTATAACACCCAAAAAATTAGGATCCATTTTAAGAGCCCCAACGAAGACCCCCAGGGTTTCTTAATCAGGTTCCTATATTGGCCTCTAAGATCTGCAGTCCTCAAGTGTCCCAAAGCGTTGAGGCCCTCAGCCTTAAACCCCTAAACCCTAAACCCTTAAACCCTAAACGCTAATCCCTAAACCCTAAACCCCGAATCCAGGACAAAGAGAACTGCTTGAGCCAGCTCGGAGAGTGGGATTCGGAGCGGGGGCGCCGCAGCCCGCTCCTCGTCAGGTTTAAGACACCAGCCGAGCCCCGAAAGACACCGGAAAGGGAAGGACCCTAGATTTAGTATCAAAAGCTTGCACAGACAATCTAATGGTATCGAGTTGAATGCGAAGGGCCATAGATTTGGTGTACAAAAAGTCTGCATGCACAATCTAATGGTATCGAGTTTGAGGATCAGGTAAGGTCTTGGGTGCCCGATTCGGCAATGGAGTTGATGTCCAACCACCCCAAACCGTAAATCCTAAACCGTAGACGAAAAAACCCAAACACCTACTTGCCTGAAACCTGAAACAGGGTTTGGGGCTTGGGGTTTAGGGCTTTGGGTTTAGGGTTTAGGAGGTAGGGTGTAGGGTGTAGGGTTCAGAGTTGAGGGTCTCGGGTTTAGAGTTTAGGGTGTTTAGTGTTCAGAGTTTAGGGCTTAGGGTTCAGAGTTTAGGGCTTAGGGTTTAAAGCCCCAGCGACTCAGCCTCTGTGAGACAAAGGTCCCGGGCCTCGGGTCTCTGGCAGTCACGGCCGAAGGCCGACAAAGTAGGGTTTGGGGGTTTAGGGGGTTTGGGGGGGTTTAGGGGGTTTTGGGGGGT